TTCTTTGGACAACATAATGCGCAAAATTGTAGAATGCTTGGATGTTTGGATGATGTGATATGAATGGCATCACAACCCACGTGAAAATTGTAAAACTTTGGAGAATCATTTTTTTTATATTTATTCTGTTAATTCCTTGAATTCTCGAAACCTCCTTGAATTATATATATCACTAAACCTCAGGGATGAGGATTGTTTGAATATAAACAGCAAAAAGGGTTAAAAACTCTGAAAAATCTAAAAAAGTAAAGATTTAAGTGAAAATTTACTAGCACTTGATTTTCAATCCAAAAAGATTTATAAATGATTGAGGATTTGATGGAATCACTAAGCTATTTTTGAAAAGTAGCATGTACAATTAATTTCACCTCAGGTGAGCGAGCGTTAAAGACTTCAATGCTACTATATAATTATTATAGTCTTACGTACTTTCAACGTTTTAAGCCGACTTTAAAAATTCTATAATTATAACTTACTGATTATAAATTTTATCATAAGATTCAAACTATTAGTCTTAAATTGGAATTTGAACATAGGATAGGTTTGAAAACTAGAGGACTAGTTGTCATCAAACTTTATAAAAAATGTTGAATTGGTGATTATTATTACTTACGAATTAACAATCAATTTTATTTATAAGCAAAATAGTGATGTTATTGACAAAACGTTCTTATTTGCCTTGCAACGCGTTTTCTGTTAATAACAAATAAAATTATTCCGATAGACGTTAAAGAACTTACCAAAGTCAGTTTATTTAGTGACTTTTGCCACTATATAAGTAGTAGATAAAGTCAATAACAAAGGAGGGCCTAGCCAAATTAACAACCAACTCCACAATGGTTTTACTTTACTTAATATATTGTAAACTTGACGTTCCGTCTCAGGCAAATCACCAGAATTATCGATAACAAAATCAGCAAATTTTATTTTGTCCTTCAGAGGAATTTGAGCCGAAATATATTGCCTGGCGATAGGTTCTGATACATCGTCTCGTTTCATTAAACGACGTAGCTGAATTTGTTCGGAACTATAAATGAACAATTAAGGATTTTAAAGATAATTTATAAATATGTATGACGCATATGAATGTGTAAGTAATGTGTAAGTAATGTGAAAATATGAGGCAAAATAAATCCTTGAAAATATCCAAAATGTCCAAAATATCCACAATAAAAAACTTAATTCGAAAAGATGAACATACCAGTAAACTACAACAACATAGTTCATGAATTTGTGAAGTCCCCCTTCAATCAATAATGGTGTGTCTAACACTACCATCTTTTTCCCGGTAATCCAATACCAAAATAATAATTTCAATATTTCTCGTCTAATATACGGGTGTGTAAACTTGTTTAAAAGTTTTCTCTGGCTTTCATCGGCAAAAATGATATTTCTTAATTTTGCCCTATCCAAAGTCCCATCCTCAAGAAGAATTTCTTTAGAAAAATGGTTGACTATTAATTCATAAGCTGGTTTTTTAGGTTGTACCACTTCACGGGCCAACACGTCTGAATCGATTATAGGAATTCCATATTTCTGAATCATTCGAGAAACGGTGCTCTTTCCTTTGTGAATGAAACTTAGTGATTATTATTTAGATGTATAAATGAACATATAATTTGATACTATAAAAAATTAAAAAAGTTTCGTTACTATGAACCTGATCCAATTCCTCCAGTTAGCCCAATAATCTTCATCAAGAAAATTTACGTGAGATACTTACTCTTATCGTTATCTTTAAATATGAATACATTGTAATACAAATAGAATTTGCGAGTAATAAAATTCCTAACAAGGAAATAGCCAATCAGAGAACGCAAATTTTGACTTACCGCTCAAGTCACAAAGTTTCACCGACAGTCATTAACTTACTATAATTGGGAAAGCGAGATCTATCGATAAATTTTCATAATCCAAACACAATAAAATTGTCCATCCCCAAATCTCAACAGCCTACCAACAAGTATAATTCAAACACGTGCGTACGTGTCTTTACGCACTTGGTTTATTTACAGATTAAATTTCCTTTTTTGGTTGATGTTATCCGTTATCGATCGACACATTGCTTTTAGCGATTGGCTAAGCTAGCCGCTAAGATATCGACTAAGCGACTGGCTAACTGCTTACCGTTACGGAATCTTCAGATCTTTAGTCGCATTAACCACCCGACCCTATTATATGTACTGTTTATATTGTTCATGCTTTCTTTCCAGATTATCAAATGTCTGAATGTGATATTTTTGTCTATATCGGCAGACTTAGCCGGTTAAGCTTACCGACTTACAACACTAGTTGGTAATTTATAAATAATCGATATACTGTATCTTTGTTTTTAGTTTCCCCAGGTTCGCCTTATGATTAGACATGTGCGAGTGCATATTTTTCTTGGCTCTGCACTGCATAATGCAGCATGTGACATTATGCAATCATGGTGTTCTACCAAAATCAAGAAGCAAGATTCATACCAATCTTTCTTATCTCTAGACAGAAGTTTACTATTTTATGGTATTTTCAAACTTCATATTAGTTAGCCTGCTTTATACAGGTAGGAAATCACTAACTGATGTTACATATCACTTAGTATTAGATATGATATAAAATTTAATATTTTATTAATTTTTGTTGCATTAAAATTATATTGTAATTTCTATATGCACTTTTAAATTTTAAAATGTCTACATTACATTATGCGACATTATGTTTTGCATAATGTAATGCACATAATGCAGAATGCCCATCTCTACTTATTATTCTCTCATGCCATCTTCGGTTTAAGCTGTGGAAGAGAATTGAGGGAGAATCAGCAGTGGTATTAGAAAATATTATATACAGTACTTTACTGCTATTTTCATAATTCCTGGAACATCTGATAAAAATTGACCGAATGATGCTTCGGCCGATTCGATTAAGTTTGTGATTTCGGATAGTGATAGAAACTTAAAATCCTTTAAGGTTAACTATTTCCCGTGGATGGGCATCCAATTGGATTAACAAGCCAGAAGCACAAGAATTATTTGAATTTTTATAGAACCTCCAGATTGCCAAACTCTTGGTGAGTCAATCTTAGAAGTAACTGTTTCGAAATATGAAGGTACGAAGCATCTCACGAAGACCTAATCAGTGTTACATTCACATTCGATGGATGGAAAAATGGTAAGCAATTATTAGGAGTAATGTTAACTACTTCAGAAGGAAAACCATATGTGTGGAAAGAAATAAAAGCTAAAAATATGCAAGAATTATTGCAATCATTACGGACAGTGCAGCTTAATGTTGCAGACGAAATTGTTTTTCGTTTCTGAAATATTTCGGATTTACAGCTATTTTCATTATTCCTGGGACATCTATAAAAAAAACTTGCCGAAAAATTTTTCGTCCGGTAATTTTTTCGGCATAATAAAAATTGATATAATACTGTAATATATACGTAATTTAAAATCAGGTGGCTAATATAAATATAAAATTACGCACATCTCTTGTGAATTCAAAAAATATGGTATTTTCAAACCACATTCGCTGGCAAATTATTGAAAAAAATTTAGAAGGCCTATCAACTCGAAAAATTGCAAAACACTTAGGTGTTAGCAGGTCTTCTATAAGTCGGGTTCTCGAGCATTTTCAAAGATATGGTTGTATCGAAAAATTTCCATCGCTTTCGGGAAAACCACGTTCTTTAAACATGAATGATATAAATTATCTTCAAGTTTTAATGAAAGAAAAACCCAACTGGTACTTGTATGAATTACAATCCGAGATTGAACTTTGGTTGGGATGTAACATTAGTCTTACAACAATTTGGAGGGCTATACACCGACTTGGATATACGCACAAAAAGGTGATATTTCATAAATTTATACATATTTTTATTTTATAAATTTTTAACAATTTTTTTAATTTTATAGATTTCAAGACTTGCAAAAGAAAGAAATGAAGCCGATAGAAACAATTTCATTTTACGAATGTCTCAGTATACACCAAGTCAGTTAGTTTTTTCAGACGAAACTGCTTATGACAGAAGAACATTATCACGATGCTATAGCTGGAATTTTTCAGGATTGCATGCTTAAAAATATTCATTTTTTGTTCGTAGAAGATGATTCACCATAGAAGGTGCATTGTGTATTAATGGTTTTTTGGCGTATTGTATTCAAGAAGGTTCCATGAATTCTACTGATTATGAAAATTTTATTGAACATGTTTTGGTAAGAATTTTTATTATGTAAATATGTATTTTTAGTATATATTATTAAATATATTTTAATAAATTATAGTTGCCCAAAATGAATCTGTTTCCTAGGCAATATAGCGTATTAGTTCTAGATAATGCGTCTATATATAAAAGCCAATACCTACGAGATATTTGTGAAGAAAAGGGAGTTCGGTTGGAATTTTTATCAGCGTACTTGCCAGATTTTAATCCCGTAAGTAATTAATATATATATTATTTTTAACAGTATATTATATAATATTTAATTTAATAAATTATATGTATAGATCGAGCAAGCTTTTTTTTATATTAAAAATTACTTACGACAAAATAGAACTTGGGCAGAATCAATAGATGATCTCTTTAATGTTTTAGATTTTGTTTATATGACAATTGGTGAAATATTGGCATGTGCATGTTATCAACATGCAGGATATATACAATAGGAATTTTATAAATTTTATTAACTTATTACTCTAATCTTTCTTTGTCGACATGCAGCAAATCATTTCTAATAAAGTTTATGATTAGCATTTGGCATCTTATTTATTAGTTGCAATCTTGTAATCTGCCAATTGTTCTATTCTTAGCATGCTTCCAAATCTTTTTTATCATATTCAGGTTATAAGTTAAATTGACCTTTTGCATTGTTATTTAAACTTTATTTTGGAAATATACAGTACATGCTAAAAATACATGTACTATACTTTATGTTTATTGTTTGTGCCTTATTAGCGTTAGTTAAACCCTTTTTATAGCACATCTTGAATATGCCAGTTATTATTGAGTAAGCTACATATAGTGATCAGCACTAGTGATGGGACTTTTTAATTTTTAATTTTTAAGTTCAAAATTAAAAATTAATAATAATTTTTAACGATTTAATAATTAAAATCTACTCGATGCATAGAAGGTATCGATAGAATGATATAATTAGCAATAAATTATAAAGTATATTAACAATAGTTCTTCATATTAAATTTCAAATACGTTTATGAATAATACTAGTTTTAAGTACTCAAATAAACTATATACGTATTAAATTCTAAATATGCTTAGGGGCGTGCCATTTATCACGTGATTTTATCATGGATACATGGATCAGAGGTGATCACGTATATATGTTATGCATTAGATTAAAACTTGTGTCAGATTAAAACCGGCCTAAATTAGAGTTAGGGTTGGGATAAGTATTGGGATTTAGCTAGGCCGATTTTGCAGATCATTTTAATGCTGGCCTAATGGTTTTAATCTGACGCAAGTATCGATCTGAGGCACAACATATATATATAATTAAAAATAATTATATTATATATTCTAATTATAATTAATTTAGTATATATGCTTTGTCAATTTTATTCAATTGTGGGGCAAATATATTGAGGTTCATTTGTGGCAAAGGCTTAGAAGTTCAGAACTGTACAAATAATTATTTTTTTCATCTTTGTTTATTCTTATATCTATAGATTCTTTTTATTTGTTTGTTATCGTGAGGCACAGGGATTAGGTCTGGAAAAGCTTAGAAGTATCATCGTAAAATAGGCTTAGAAGATATTGGTCTGGTCGGGCTAAGGTTAGATGAGTCAATAACATTAAAACAACAAAGTATAGAGCTAGACTTCAGAAGCGTATTTTGTAACAAGCCTTCAATATATTTCAAAAGTATCAAAGAGCTGTCTTTTTGCTCTCCGAATAAAAGCTTTAGATTACAATGCCTTTAATATAGGAGTATTAAGAATTGATTTCTCAAGTGTTGTTATAAACTTATTGTTATATCGTTGTATTTATTTCCCTTATTTTACCGTGAAGGTTCTTCACGATCGTATTATACATTTTGTTAGTACCTTATTACTTTATTACCTTATAAGTATCGACCCATAATATCGGTCATATTGATTAACTATCGATATTACTGATTTATTTAATTATGATTACATAACTTGATTTATTTACCTGATTGATTACCGGTAGATATAATTAAGTGCCTCGATCTCGGATTAATTACGTAACCTCACGTGCTTAAGTTATTACTATAGCCGCATTTATTCATTAGTAAAATACCTTGAGTTCTATACAAAGAACATATAAGTTAACTATTGAAGCTAAACTCTGCCGATAGTTCTCAAAGCTTTTCCAAAACAATAGTAACAATATGCATTAAACTGGTCGTCAGAATATAATCATCAATCGGGACACTATATCACATTTGTTTTAGTTAGTTTATTTTTGCCCATAATACTATCTAATCAATATTCTAATAATAATAGACTTTGAAGAGGCATAAAAAGACTTAGAATAATTAGGGTGAATAGATTAGGGCTTTATATTACGTCACAAGACTCTAACGTGAATCACAGAATTATATTACTAATTCAGGCAAAACATGTTTGATTCGGCTTCACTACCCATAATGTGTTAAAGATAGTAGATTTGTTTGTTTTATTCTTATTTTTATTCCAAAAGAAAATTTACTCAAGCATTTCTGTTATTAGATATTCCGTCTTAAGTTTAATACACCAACTTTGGCCCTGGAGGAGCCAAAGTTGGTATACTAAATTTAAAGCTTTTATTTATTATGCGAAACGATTATTATAACTATAAGATTATAGTACAATATTACCTGCCAAATAAAACTGTTATTGGGTATTACACATCCAATAATTATAAATTCTGATTTCCCCATCTAATTACTATTGGTAAATGAACATAGTGCATGTTTTTAAAATGTGGCAATGCCGCTATACTGATAAAATGACAATAAACTTTGTATTGATTAGGGTGTTGAGGGTTGAGTTCACGATTCTTTCACCTTAGTTCTTTGCTATTATCTTTGACAATCAGTGATTATCAATTTATTATATTAGCAAAAAATCCGAAGAAAAAAGTAAAAAATTAAAAAAAAACAGAAGCATAACATTAGACAGGATTAATATATAAGTACTAAAAGAATACCTTTTTATTAGGATTTGAGTTGTCTTAAATGATTCAATTTTTTTTTCTCAATGCAATAGACATGTAATATATATATGTATTTATATGTATAAAAAATGGTGGATATAAAATTTTTTTTAAGGGGTTTAGAAGAAAATTTTTTATATCGATTCTGTATGATAGCAACACAACATGCCAAAATCAGAAAAGATAAACACACTATATACAAATACATATAGTACATTAAATAGCTATATATAGCAAATATAATTATGCTAAAATTTAATAGAATTAAATATTTATTTATTATAATTTAAAAATAATTACACCAAAAAGATTAAATATTAACTAATCAAAATAAAATATAAAATTTTTATTTAGCATTAGAAAAAATATAACCATTACCCAAAAATGAAGGTGCTTCTAAATTATTTATCATTAGTGATCCTAAAGACCATTTAGCATTTAGATCATCTGTGAGATGAATATTTCTATTTGCTAAATCAAAATCATCTTCAAATTCTATAGTAAGAAGATATTCATCTTTAATATTGTCAAATTGACTTTCTCTTTTTCCCAAATCAATCCATTCTTAAATTAATAAGGTAGATATGCCTAATTTGGCGCAGTGCCTAATTCGGCGCACCAACGATATCTCGTGAA